GTCTTTTACTGATAAACAAACGGGATGAAAGTGCTAATTACAGCCCCGAGCTAGGAGGACTTCTATTAGGACTATCATGCTGGAGTCTGAGCACCTGTTCTCAACAGGAAGAAATGTTTCATCTCCAAAGGACAGACTAGAATTAGCATGGCTGCAACCTTTTATGAGACCATAGCACCGCTCCAGTCATTAGACCAGACTGATTAAAACTGCCTTGATCCTGTTCTCCTTGTACTGACCTGGCTTTTTCCCCAGCCTGGCACATTTACCTTTGCAGGAGGCTTTTGTTTCAATTTTACAACCTGTTTAATAGCTTGAATTCCTAAAGAGATCCTTTCAGAACTACAACACACTATCATAAAATATTACAACAGAAGACACCATAGCAGTCTTCACTTTCATTGCCCTGTGTGACTGCAGGCAGGCATTCGTTCCTTTGTTATGACTTTCATCCATCCTGCTTTCCTCCCTCCCAATCACAATCAAACTCTTAGAGGTCTGAGAGGCTTTTCAATGCTATACTGAGGGTCTGTAGAAATATAGGACGTTCTGTCTGAGGAACAGCATCAGTAAGGTTTCTTTCTTAGATCCCCAACTGCATGACTCGGGTCTGATCAGGTATGTGCTCATCAAAGTCTCTTTTCTGCAAAAAGCCTTAAACTGAAGTCAATAAAAAAGCAAAGCTACATTTAATATTCTGCTGGTGAGAGAGGGAGAGGAAGAAACCGCTGAAACATGAAACCTCTTGATATATTCATGTGCACTTTTGATTAAAGAGCTAGAAAGCAATGCACAGACAACGCCAACACACTTACTTACTTCCCACTGTTCCCGGCTATAGCAGGATGCTGCAGGATACAGTATGACCTTGGTATAAACAAGCAGTGACTGGTACTTGACTAAAGAAAGGATAATTACTGCACAGCGCCTGGCTATCAAACTATTCTAGTGAACTGGCAACATTTTATTTCCCCTAATGGTCACAAGAACATTTGTTCCTGAAGGTTTTCGGAATGATCTGGCAGGTAAAGCATCAGACTGGAGCCAGGAGGAGGAGCTCTGTAATGGGTTTTTAACTTAACCTGCTGTGACCTTCACACATTTGCTGTATCTCTTACTCTTTTTTTTTTATCAATACTTGATACTCATTCTTCAGAGTCCAGACTCCCATGCAACACAGTAAAACCTGTCAGTACTCTCAGAACAAGTTAGCAGGAACAACAAGACTGACTAGAGACTTTGGAGTTAAATAAGTGTTTTTACTTTCAAGTGTCATAGTGCCAGACTTGTAACTCAAGCTAACAGCAGAATATACAGAGGATACTCAATACAGAGAAACTCAAGCACCTGAAAATTATCAGCCAACACTGTACAGCCAAAGAATTCTTCTTACAAGATTTAACCCCTGTACAAAGGTTAACACCACACAAAATTGCATTTTGGTCAACAAGAATACAGTTACACAGGTCTAACAATTACTGACACAGACTCTCCATTTAAACCTGGCTAGCATCTCTCTTCCCTTTCTACTTTGCAGAGGAAAGCCTCTCACTGAATACTATCGAGATAAAAAGGGAGCATTAATGTGCCAACTTGAATATGTATTTAATTACTTAGCACATATTTGAGACATGGTCTTTTAATGTTTGAATAAGCTCTGAATCTGTGTCAAGAGAGAAACTAACAGAAATCCAACAAGACATTGATGACCTACAACTCACTGAAATAATTTAACATGTTTACAAGAACAGTTAAGGTATGGCTAAGAGCTGTACATTCCACCTGAAGCTCAGACATTACTACCAGCATTTCCAGTATGCTCATTCCTTCTTCCACTACTAGCCATTGATGCGGTAATTCACATGGATTTCAGGTTTGATGTCACACACCAGTGACAACAGCTGGGAGAGGACCACCTCACGGTTCTTCTGGAAGTTCTGCTGGATTACGCTCATCTTTTCCTGGGTCTCTTTCTCAACTTCAGTGGTGCAGCTGCCATGAGATCCAAGTGCCTACAAATTGCAAAGGAAAGAGAAAGCTCACATGCGAGTAGCTTGACAAAGAAAACACTATGCCTACCTCTGTATTTTGTTATTCTGGACTGCCTCAGTGCATCTCAACCATTAATCTTTGCTGAGGGAAGAATTGCACTTAAAAAAAAAAAAAGGTACTGTTGGATTCTGTGCTCAGATTTCCCACTAAACTTGCCCAAGTTTGTACTTCACCCACAGCCTAAGCCTTTTATCCTCTTTTATTCATTATCTGTCAGTTTAGAGCATGAGCTTCTAAAGAATGCGTGAAATAAAGGTCCTGCTGCTCCGGTGACTGGAACCAGGAGCCCCTGGGCACTACTGTAGTAGCTAGTGTAAGAAAAGTAACACCCATGATTTAGTTTAAGCCCAGTCTTCACATCATCCCATTGCTTCCACCCCTTGCAGAATCTTTATAAAAATCTCTGCCTTCCTAACAGGACTGTGGGCTATGCGATATACACAGCAAGGAGTCTTCCACAGCTTGCAAAGCCCTTCTTGCCCCATAAGCAAGGGCAGAGAGAGCAAACTCCGATTACAGGGGGAGGGGGGTGCAGAAGGCACAGAAAAAATATGCTGAAAGAGACTAGCACCCTGGAACTCAAATTCAAAGAGCTTCTCTCTCTGGAGAAGGATAAATAAAACAAAACCAGCTGACAGGCAGTGAAGTCCACTTCATTAGCCTGGAATTGCCTGGTATCATATGCCTAGTGAACCAAGCTAACAAGCGATTGTAAAAAATTAATCTTGACCTACTGACATGAAGACTATTGTGCAGGAGAACAGAGGACATGTTATTGTGCTAACCAGAAGATGGACAGAGAGGAGGGTTGCCAGGTCATTTTCTGAAGATTACAGATCTGACAGGGGCACACAGGCAGTGGAAATGACCTCAGCTGGTGAAGGGCCTCAGTTCTGCGCTTTTTGGGAATACTTCCCCTTGCTCAGAAGGAATGCAAAACATACCCCTTGATACAGAGCAGGCAACAATGCTAAGGAGAATACAAGCCTTACAACTGCTTCAGCAAGAGAGCAGCATCTACAAGGCAAGTGGTCTCTACCACGTTAGCATCGTAGAAACCCGTGTGTCACAAGAGGAATGAGCTTGGTCTTTTCTTGACACCGCTACATACAGGAGGTTTTGGGAGGCTGCCATGGATCAGGGCACCAGCCAGTACATGAGCTTATAAAGTTAATTCACTGCCAGTCAATAGTTCTGCCTGTTGAGATGCAATACAGCATGTTCTGATTCACTTCCACTGTTTTTTCCGAAACACGTGGCTGTGCATCAGAGGAAGGCAGTTAGGGAAGTACTGCTCCAGCAACACGTTCCACCCCGAGGGCTGCTCTCGGGGCAAGTAACCCCAAACACAAGGCTAGGGGCTGGGTAGGTAACAGTGAATGATCTAGAAAACAAACCGCTGCTTCCTTGGCTTTGAACTCCTTCTCCCTCTGCAGGCGGTACTGCTCAATCTCTGCCTGGGCTTCTTCTTTTGCCTGCTTCAACCTCCGATTCTTTCCTGTTTCCAAAGAACATACCAAATGAAATAAAGAAGAGAAAGTATTGAGAGTATATTTCCCCACACCTCTCCAGCTACCCAATGCACAACAATCACTATAGCATTTGCTGTTGCAGCAGCTCCTTCTGTAGGAGGCATCAACAGGACACCACACACCCTCCCAGCCCCTCCAGCTTTGCTGTGTTAGCTGACCTCAGGAGCATTGAGGTCACCTTGTGTGCCACCAAACCATCGCCAAGCTCACCACGCAGTGAGCTTCCACCAGCAAGAACTGGAGAGGTTCTGAGCCATTGGATGCATTAGACAATCTGCAGGTCTGGCCTTGCTCACATGAGCATGCAACATCCCCGAGTGATTCCCACAGATCACAGCCAAAAGAACATTAAGTCTTACTTTTGCCTCAGGCCAATTGTGCAACTGATGGAAAGACTGACTATGGCATCAACTTCCCCTCTTGGACTTTCCACCACACCCTCCTCTCCAAGGTTATCCTCAGAGTGAGCGACAACAATCTACTTCTTACAAAACTATGAGGGGGTAGAACCACAACACAGTGTGGCTTCATTAAAAAAAAAATAGAAAATGCTTGAAGCAGAAAAAATGTGTAAAGGTGGGGATGTTTGTAACCAGAATTTCTCTTGCTTAACAGGAAATGCTAACCTGGCTCCTCAAGGAGTGGCGCTCTCAGCTCTACAAAATGTCTAATCACCAACATGGAAATACACTGGTTTCACCCAGGAAAAAAAAAATTAAGAGTGGGAAAGATGCAGATAAGCACAAGCATCCCCCAGCTGAAGACCCTGCTGCCACAAAGGACAGGGTTTGATGGTGGTTGCCTCCTAAGGAGCAGTCCCAGTGGGCCAGGAGCCACTGAGCTCCTCTCAGACCTGTGCAGGCCCCTCCAGCTACAGGCAGGAAGGTTCCCCACAGCTGCCAGGGAGCATCCAACTTCGCTTTCCCTACCTTCTTCACACAGGAGACAGGTTCCTGCAGGAGCAGACCAACGCTGCGCTCCCACAGCACCCACCCCGGCCCCGAGCGGCCCTTCGGCCCTGCTCTCACCGGCCAGCCCCACCGCGCTGCCGGCGCCCCACACGGTCCCCGAGCAAGGCGGGCCCTGCATCCCCTCCCCGGGGGGGGGGGGGTGTCGGGGATCCCCGCTGGCACAGCGGTCCCGCAGACCCTGCTCCTCCGCCCCCCGCGCTGCCCAGCGGCCCTCGGCAGCAGCACGG